CTTACAAAAAATGGGTATCGCATGTTTTAAGTTCAGAAAAATGCAATTATTACAAGCTTTTCAAGACAACAATTTCCCCAGAATACTATTTGTTTGACATCAACTTTAAAAGGTTTACAATAAGTTTAGCACAATTTAGATGCAGCTCTCATAGACTTAGGATCGAAGTAGGCAGGCATAGAAACATTGAGAGAGAATTGAGAATATGTGAGCAATGTGGTTTAAAGGTGATTGAAGATGAGTTTCATTTTCTGTTAGTTTGTCCAAAATACGACCACCTTAGAAGAAAATATATTGATCTGCCGTGTTATGTACATCCCACTCTACAAAGATTTATAACGATCATGTCAACAACTGATAAAGATACTTTAAAAAATCTATCAGTGTTCATTTATCATGCTATGTTAATTTGAATATGACATATTAAACGGATCTGTAACCACTCCCGAAAACAGAATTGTACCATGGGCCTGAGGCCTTTCAGTATGGAATAAAACTTATCCTACATCCTATAGATGTGACACCAATTTGGCCATTTTTCGTGTATGTATGATAGTGTGATGGCTTTAGCGGTATTAGGATCGGTTTCTTTATTTCGTTTGGAGGAGAGTGTTGTGTCTATATTGGGGATTTGTAGTTTTGGTGTGAATATGTTGTTTGGTTTTGTGTTAAGTTTTAAATCGTTTAGGTTGTGTATGTTTAAGTAGTTGAGTGTGCGTTGAGAGATTGGTGTTTATAGTGTTTTTTCTGTGCTAGTGCTTGGTGTTTTAGGCGTATATTGTTTTTAAGGATGTGTTGGATTAGGGTGTGTTGTTGATAATTGTTCTTGGCGTAAATCCAGGGGTGGGGGGGGGGTGGGTGGGGGGGAGGGGTTCGCCTGTTAGGGCCTGCAGTGAGGTAAGCGGGGTGCCCTACTGTCTGCGAGTGATTGCCTAAAAGTCGGGCCGGGCCGGGCCAAAGTTGTATTGGCTAATTACTACATTATCGGCGACCATATCATATATTATTGATGCAACATACACACATGATATTAATGAACAATCACCAATTAAAAAACGTGCACCATAATTAAGTGATTCGGAGACAATCGCTTGAAAACCAGAAAGTGGAGCTGTGTGTAAGCGTCGCTGATCTAGATAACATGTAAAAGGGCAATCGTTAAACGAAATAGGATTTGAAACGTATCAAATACTTCTAGCTATCGTGATACAAATTTCCCTCTGTCGACATAGCTTTACATTTATAGGACAGTACTATATCTAAGTAAATACCACTTAATAATGCCACAGTTCATCGTATTTCAAGCAGGCACGTTGGTTAAAGCACGGACATATACAAATCCGTGGCTAAAGTAGACCTCTTCTCCACATACTCTCAACAGTCTCACTAGTGTTCGGTCCGACTTGGCCTAGGCTGTCAAAATCATGTTTAAACACACAGATGTATAATCAAATGTGTTTACCTCTATAAATTAGTATTATATCTACCTATACACTACTTTATAATGTCACAGATCGCGGTATTTAAAGAAAATAAGGTGAAAGTGAAGCCCTTTCCCCTCTACATTCTGAACATAGACTCTATCAGAAGTGTTTGGCTCAATTCTCATATTGTTTCCATATCATTATAATACATTTGTTTTAAAATAAACTTGTATATAAATATAATGTGCCTTCTCTGTATGTTGAATGTACGTGTGTGTTTTGCACGTATTGTGCATATAGTTTGTAGTTTGTGATAGCGTAATATTACCACTGTTTCTTCCTGGAATGTTACGCAATACACATATCTCATCTTAAACATCTTTGTTGTAGGATAGTTTGTTACAGCTGTGTACAGGGGCACGGTTGGCCCAGTCGCCTTATGCGCTGCAATTCGCTATGCAGAGTTGTGTCCCTTGGACACGCCAGAAACCTATGACAGTGTGTTCGAATCCTGGTTCTCCCCGATTAATTTATGTTGTCAGCACCATACCCCTGCCCGTGGGTTTCACCAAAGTGGTGAACGTCTCAGACCTGCATCACTTCGGGCTTTCCTCTCACATCAAGCTGACACGCCGTGATATAACCGGAATTATACTATTCAAAGCGGCTTTAAACCCATCTCACTCACTCACTACTCTTGTGTACGGTTCCGTTTGGTTAACTGGGTTTGTGTTCTGATTGCTTCCGGTTCAAATTTGAAGTATGTTTAGAAGAATGATACTATGTTCCACCCAAACATCGTGAATATATCATGCAACCGAATTATTTTTAGGAAACTAATTGCAAACTTCAGGCCAACATGTTGATTTCCAGTGTATCCAGAAGCAAAGAACTTATACGGGTGTTTAATCTCTGCAGGAAGTTAAAACAACTGTCAATACAATAAACCATGCAGAACCGTAAACCGACGTATGAAACGGTATGAATCATACTTTACATACAGTGAACTGCTTGAAACTGTGCTCGAATCTACACAGCATGCACCATACATGTGATTGTAAAGAGAACTTATTACAAATTTCTGATATCAAACCCGTTGTTTTACATGTGTTGTTTATTGAACAAAGTCATGCTTAAACCTGGTATTTATACTTTAATAGTGTTGATAAGTTGCAATAGCAGTGTGAAGGGAGAAAGATTAAGTACGCGTCACATGCTTGACCTGTATTCCTCCCTGGAACCAGTCTCTTTGGCTGCCTGAATAGCATACGATACAGTGCAACGGTAGTGCGCAACAGAACTATTCGGGTAAGGGAGATAATCACTCACTCGCAGTGATACAGCTTGAATAAGATACGATGTACAGCATTGCAAGGTCACGCGTGATAAAGCTCTATACTACGCATATAGCTAAAGGAGATAATCGCTCAATGCGCAATAGTTTATTCTTACAAAATATAGACCGGTCAACTTTAGCGAAAGGAGATATACACTCTTCGAAAAAAGAAACGCAAAGGTAGATTTGTAGTAAATTCATTGTACCTGAAAAAGTCGATATATTTAAGTTAATATCATAGATACAAATATTAAATTTTGGAGTCCGATTGTCACATGTTTTCGTTGTACAAAGGCATTGAAAACTGATCATTGTCATGTCACATAAGGCCACAAGGGTGCGCTGAACTCAGTATCTCGTGTGACCGCCCCTCAATCTCATTAAAATCAGATCTTAGTTCTCGCTATCGCTAAACAAAGATCTGAGGACATCCCATTACAGGTCACGTCAGAACGACCTTTCATCCAACCAATCACAGCGTCGCTCTTAATTGAGCAAAACTATACGTTTGTGGACATTTGAGATCTGCCGAGATATGTACGTTTCGTTTTATTATTCTGCCCAAGGGAAGCAACTCTGCACAGCGAATTGTGGCACCTCAGACGACCCGAATTTATACAGGTCGTAAACGTTCATCATAATGGCGGAACCAGTCCTGACAAACCAAGAATCAGGGCAAATCTGCGATTCGAACCCACAATCATTAATAGAATTTCGACAAAAAAAGGGACGCAACTCTTCAAAGGAAAATGATAAGTTGATCAAACATGTGCCGGTTTTCCGAGTAACTGCAAGAGTAAAACGTGAACTATCTCTACGAAAGGTTCACCCCCCATTAGTCTTACAAGCCATTTTTCATAAAAGTAGATGTCAGCCCTGCTGCTGGGGAGTTGTGGAAAGGCTTTGTAAACAGTTGTCATGGATTGGATACGTCTTTCCCAAAATGTAAAACTGGCCCTCACTATTTAGTGTCTAATATCAAAACAAACATTACCGTATTCGACGTAATAAGCGCCAACGGCAATATTTGCTAATATATTGGATAGTGAACAATCCCAATTAGCACCCCTTCCGAATGATCAATGTACACAAGACTTATTTATTCGTGTACATACGCACTTGTGTGTTATATGCACCCTTATTATGGGCAAGTAAATTCTGGAAAATATATTTATCGAGTACAATACGCACAGATTCTTCTTTTGTATCATTTCAGGCTGTCAACATAAGCCAAAATATTTACAATCTTTCAACTGTTTCTTTTCTCACCAAAATTATATTCTAATAAGAGCCCCCTATTTCTAATTTTGAGAGCGCCCTGGCTGCTTATTACGTCAAATACGGTAAATCCTTGCTCCAAATGATACAGGCATCCTGGCCGCACTACCTGCATCTGTTAAACCTATATGTGTCGGCCTTATAGCACACTCCATTGTCACACACCTAACACAGCATACGACAGGGTTGACTCAAAGATGGAAAAGGTCTATACACGTCTTTAGTTGACTGTACAGCTAATCCCCTTCCTATTACCTGACTGTTAGACCCCTGCAGATCTGGGGTAGAATAGGTCTTCAGCAACCCATGCTTGCCGTAAAAGGCGAGTATGCTTGTCGTAAGACGTGACTAACAGGGTCGGGTGGTCAGGCTCGCTGACTTAGTTGATGCATGTCCAATTGTGTGGATCGATGCTCATGACGTCAATCACTGGATTGTCTGGTCCAGACTTGATTATTTACAGACCGCCGTCATATAGCTGGAATATTGCTGAGTGCGGCATTTAACAACAAACCAAGCAACCAACCTGACTGTTATATAGAATGATCCAGGCAGGACAACACAACACCAGACTTTCTAGAGAATCTTTATGTGTGTACTTATTCATCACAATATGACTCTACATTATCTAAAATATTAATATACAGTGTCATACAACATAACAGTCTCGCTCAACCAAGTCTCAGCAGATGACCAAAGTCATCCAGGTACTTGGTTGATGTCTTTATTCCCTGTTGAACTGGTTCTTTAGGCGATTTTCTTCTGTAGACACACTTCTGTCTAGGTGATGCTCCAGTGAAGTCGAGTTGTGCCAGTTTCCAGACAGTAGGTTAGAGGTGAAGTAATATGGGGTTTAACGTTGTGTCCAAGATTATTGCACATATATAGCGACTTGCATGTGTGGCTGCTTGTACTAGTCCGGACTGATGTCAATTCTTAGTGCTATCACACAGAGATACCATGTCGCAGTTTAACATGAATACCCCACTCAGAATACTGACTCCGAGCCAACCAGTCCATGTTTTAGCCCCTTAATGCTGAGCGTCAGACAGGGTAACAACAAGTACCATCTTTTAATGTCTTTTGGTGTAGTTTAGAGAATTAGTCTGACATGCTGTATCAGTTAGCCTAATCCATGAACTCTCCCTGAAGTATGTGTAGAGAAGACATGCAGTCTTATATAGCTGCATGTGAGGTTTGGCTCAACCCAGCTGTGAACAGCATTTCATTCAATTATACAACAGCGTGTCAGCTTGCTATGGGAAGAAAGCCCGAAGTGATGCAGGTCTTTGACGTTACCACTTTGGTGCTCCAAGAGCATAGATATGGTGCTGACAAACATAGAACATAATCAGGGCCAATTATGGGAATCGAACACACGATCACAGCTTTCTAGGATATCTGATGATGCAACTCTACATAGCGAAGAATTATGTCGCCTTAAATGACTGGGACACCCATGCCTTTAGTTGTAATGACCATGAGATTTAAGGAGCCCCAGTGATTTTTCCACTTTCGCACAAAGAACAATAAAAGTAACCTGTTTTTAAATAAGTTTGTATTAAGTTGTTATGAATGAGCAGTTAAATGCAGAGATTGAGATTACTGTGTGTATTTTCTTTTAAACTAAGTCATAAGTAGCAATCAGCTGTACACACGTTTCTCGATTCGGTTTATAATTACTCAATAATATAATTTAAAGAATTTTGATAAAATGATCGAAAGAAACTCGCCTTATACACAGCGATACCATCAGTCACACTGTAAGTTTTTCTGAAACCTTGATATTTTTCCAAAGAGATGGTTTATATCTCAGTCATATTCCATAGATTCCAGCTTCTTCTGATAGTCCAGCTCCATTAGCAGCCTGTACACAATCCGGTCCGGGTCAGGAAACCAGTGGCTGATTTCATGATCAACAATCCACATCTTTTGTACAATGACACACGACCAGCCAGATCACACATTGTAACCATCTACCCCTCTCCTACAAGCATGGATTACTGAAGACACATCCTCCCAGAATCCAAACATGGAGCCTCCATGCGACACAAAGAGATAAATTTATACAGATAATTAGATCCTGCTTCTTGGCTACATAGGCCTCTTGGATGTTGATGACCTGCACTTCATCCTGGACTACATGGGCTGATCATGGCACTACCCTCCACTGGTCTCCACAGGTCCACTATAAGCTTGCATCAGACCCAACATCAGGCTGACTCATGTATCCGCCAATCGCTCTACCACTCTCTTTGCTATAGATCTGTATGCCTCTGCCTGTAAAACACAGCAAGTAGAGTCTGTATAGCCTTTCGCAACATTTCAATTACTCATTATTCAGGTTGAGAAGAACGGAACGACAAGGCTCTGTAGTGCTGTTCTGCATTAGTCACTGTATGTTCATGTATTTGATGCCAGCAGTAAATGAACCCTGGGCCCACTTGCTCAACGCGATCTTAGCGCTAAGATGATCGTAACTCCCATACTTTAACATAGGCTTACGATAGTCTTAACGCTAAGATCGCTTTGTGCAAGTGGGCCCTGGTGTTATATTGGAATATCAGTACCTCATGCTACTGATTATTTCAATTTCCCTACCAGTGATCAAGTGATATTGTCAGGAACTTACCTGAGGACTGTCTGGTTCAGCTATCACAATTGGCTGTCCGGAGTCGGACAGCTCCTGGATGCGTCTGTGCAGTGGTATGTCACCTGTGGAAGATAAGTCACTCACTCACTCACTAACACACACAGCATATATGTCGACATAGTGTTTATAATATTGGCAACCTTCATAGTGGATGTGTTATTTTTTGTTTGTTTAAAACTGATCGAGGTGTATGACACCAGCCTGTTAATGCAGCTTGGATTCTGGCACAAGGAAATGTTAGTGTCGAGGTGAAATGGTGCTTAACATGGCATTCAAGATAATTGCACTTTCATAAAAAATAATTGCACTTTCATAGCAACGTGTGTGTGTGTGTGTGTGTGTGTGTGTGTGTGTGTTAGTTATAGCTCTAGTCCAGACTCATGATGGTTTTATACAGCTAGCCCACTGAGATGGACATCCCACTCAGACACATCATACTGGCTCCGAGCTGACCAGTCCCTGTTTCATCCCCTTAATCATGTTAATGCCAAGTGCCAGGAATGGTAACAAGCACTACCTTTCAGTGTCTACTGGTATGATGATCAAACCATCTAAATGAACCAGTTGGACTTAATTCATGTTACTCTCAGCCATACTATCCACACTATCCCCATTTCATTGTGTAGTATTACAGGCTTGACAACATAGTCAGTCAGCATGGTCACAGATACTCAACTCTGATGTTGTTGGACTACTGGTTGTCAGGATACTTACCAATAATGTCTAAGTTCAACTCTCTAGCGATTCTCTCCGCACCATCTTTCCCAAATATATGTTCTGGGTGTCCGCACTTCGGACACACGAAGACACTCATGTTCTGCACCAGTCCCAGCACAGGGACGTCCACTTTCCGGAACATCTCCGCTCCGCGCCTGGCATCCTGCAGGGCTATGTCCTGTGGCGTTGTCACCACTACAGCACCTGTCCAACAGAGAACTGTCTTTGAAAATAGTAATAATTGGCCATTTGATTAGCAGAGGATCATAGGGCAGTGTTTTCATGACACAGACATGTGTGCCAGTATGCACAAATGTATAGAATGGATGCAGAGTAAACAGATATTGCGGGGGATGCACAATAATATCCATTGTACCAAATTCCTGATAAGAAATTTATAGGTTCTATTATCAAATAATATAGGGGATCAGAGTATCCCCCTTATTTATAAACTTATCCTGGCACAATAGTGTGCAATATTCCTTCTTGCTTTGATCATATAACAGTGTAGAACAATGAAAAATAATCACCAGAACACACGTTCAGACCACATCACTCCAAGCATGATCCTGTGATACTCGTCGCTTTTTCCCACCATCCCCTGGAGACAGGTGACGAGTTGATCCGAAACTTCGCGGGGATGGACAGACGGGCAGTCATGGCCTGTGGTGTCAGGATAAGTATAACAAGTATTTGTCACAGAGTGACGAAATATCCCCCGCCTGTACACCATAGTACCAAATATGAAAACAATCCAGCGATTAGTTCTTGAGATATTGTGGCAACACCGTTTTCCAACTCCAAAAACAGATTTGCCTGCTGTGACCTTGAAAATGGGGTCAAGGTCACCAAATCTGACAGGTGTATGCGGTGTCTGTATATACACTATAGTTCCAAATATGAAGACAATCCAGCGATTAGTTCTTGAGATATCGCGGCACCACCGTTTTCTAACTCCAAAAGCAGATTTGCCTGCTGTGACCTTGACAATGGGGTCAAGGTCACCAAAACCGACTGGTGTCTGCGGTGTCTGTATATACACCATAGTTCCAAATATGAAGACAATCCAGTGTTTAGTTCTTGAGATATCGCGGCAACACCGTTTTCCAACTCCAAAAGCAGATTTGCCTGCTGTGACCTTGAAAATGGGATCAAGGTCACCAAAACCGACTGGTGTCTGCGGAGTCTGTATATACACCATAGTTCCAAATATGAAGACAATCCAGTGTTTAGTTCTTGAGATATCGCGGCAACACCGTTTTCCAACTCTAAAAGCAGATTTGTCTGCTGTGACCTTGAAAATGGGATCAAGGTCACCAAAACCGACTGGTGTCTGCGGAGTCTGTATATACACCATAGTTCCAAATATGAAGACAATCCAGTGTTTAGTTCTTGAGATATCGCGGCAACACCGTTTTCCAACTCCAAAAGCAGATATGCCTGCTGTGACCTTGAAAATGGGGTCAAGGTCACCAAAACCGAATGGTGTCTGCGGAGTCTGTATATACACCATAGTTCCAAATATGAAGACAATCCAGTGTTTAGTTCTTGAGATATCGCGGCAACAAACAGGTGGGACGTACGGACGGACGGACGGTCGTGAATACTATATCCCCCGCTTCGCGCTTTCGCGCGGCGGGGGATAAAAATAAGGGGAATACTCTGATTCTCTCTATCTTTAACTTATCCCTCCACAACAGTATACAATTACCCCGCAGTAGGACAACGGATTGGTTCAGCTGCATATCCCCATTTGCAATTTAGTAGTCGTGCACAGACTAGACTTGACTGCCACTTTATCTCCAACACATGGGTTTGTTCAATTTCACGAGTCCCGTAATACATCACCACCATGCCTGGCTACAGATAAGGCTTGGTCTGAAATTACATTGCAACTGGAGGTACTCAAAAGATTGGGAACAGTAGTTGCCCTCACGATATGTAGTACCCTTGGTACTGAGTTATCGCAAACATTCCGTAGAAAGAAGAACAAAACATGCAGGAGTACCGATTTGGAGGGCCTTGATGGCAGCTGCTCCATTCCCATCTCATCAACAGTGATATAGAGGTGCGACGAGTTGCTGGGCGAAGAAGAGAGGACCCAGCTGATGGACACCATCAACATCCTCAACAGACAGAACCTGGAGGTAGAAGTTGGCGAAAGAAGTGTCGGTTTGCTAAAAGCAGCCTTGGATATTGTCTGAGGGAGCTGTTGGTGTGGATTGCCATCGTGGACGATAAAGCCAGAGTCTTATGCGGATTGGTGGATCCAGTCCAACATAGGCGTAAGCCTGAATAATGGTTGGACGCAACCAGAATGACAAACTTGGCGGTTGGAAGGAAAAGGCATTTATGTTGGCGCAGAAAGCGACTAGTTATGTCAATATCATGGTGTAGCATGAACTGGGCAGAGGGAGATGTCCTCTGTGTCACCAGACCCAACAATGTTAGTCAGAAGGGTGACAGTGAAGGTGCGATCTAACTGATCAGGCAATTGATATTTGGAAATAAGCCAAATGTACCTCTGCCTGTGGCCCATGTCCAAACTTGATCTGGATGATGTCTAGAGCGTGAAGTTCACGGACATGTGCTATAGTGGCAAATGACAGGAGAAAATAGACCAGAAGTCTGTTGTGAATGGAGTCGTCTCGAAAGTAGGATCCATATCATGTTGACAGCAATGAGTCTCGAAAGAACCATTTCTGGTCACACGGGGATGGTGGTGTGTCTGACAGATGGCGATAGCCGCCGCCATGGAGAAACCCCAGGCTGTCAATGCGCTCTGCAAATGAACTACACTTGTAGATCCCGCAACACTGGGCAAGAATCTGGATGTTCACTGTGGATGCCAGTTTCTGTAGAACACGGGGAAGGAGCACCAGGGGTTGAAACAAAACACCACTTGATGGCGTGGGGCGGCAAGATCACAAGCTAGAATGTCCTGTATCAGTGATATTATTGCTGAAGCTGGTGGCTGTAGTGGGTGGGTGGCCAAACCACTGGCAAAACATCGAGAAATTATCTGGGGACAACTGCCACTCCACGGGGACTGACTGGGGCGAGATGGGGCAATGGCAAGAATGTTTGAGATGCCCAGAATGTTGCGAACTCTCATCGTCAACGGGAAGTTGTCTATGGGATGGTGGAATGCGAATGTGAGATCCAGGAGACTCTGTGAGTGGATCCCAACAGATTGATGTAATGAGCCACCGTGACGTTGTCCATTTTATCATGAGGCAATTTCCCCGCAAGATAGTCCGTTGGCAGGGAAAATACATGTGTGAGGAAGGTAAGTAGCTGTATAATTATATTTACTGATACGTAACTGCCAGGGACCCTAATAATGATGCACTAAGGATGATCAAATTCAAATGACAAAAACTAATCCAATCGTAAATGTGTCCGTTCACCACGGGCAATGAAGGAAAAAGTGACATGTAGTACAGGAGCATGCTGGGAGCGAGGTGATTGGAGGGTGTGTTCTGGTGATTGTATTACATTGTTCTACACTGTTATATGATCGATGCTAGAAGGAAAACTACATACTGTTGTGGAGGGATAAGTTACAAAATGATCAAATCTTACAGTTCATATAGTTTGAAGGTAGTAGGTTTATTGTGCTGACTGTTGAGCATACAGCCTCCACATGGTCCATGATATAAGGGAGATCATTCATGCATAACAGAGCTAGTAGTCTTTAGGCGACAGAGCACCTAACCATGGTCATATATAATATAGATAACCCTACACTGTAAGGACCCTTGACATTAATTATGGACTGTTGCTTTGACCCTTAGTTTTGTAGATCAAGGTGAAGCCCTGATAGGGTATGACATAATAACATGACAAGACACATCATGTTTTCAGAGTGGGGCAAAACCAAAGGATTCCCCTGATTAGTTTGTAGCTTCAAACCAACAGCTCTAGGGGCATGAGAACACTTGTACCTGAGACTGGGATGTTTTGGGATATGGACAACTGGGCGTCGCCCGTCCCTGGGGGCATGTCTATCACCAGATAGTCCAGGGGGCTCCATGACACCTGCAAGAACATTCATCAGGATCATTATGGTTGCGGTGGTACAAAACAATTAGGAGATAAACATACTGTGTTTTCAATGTAGAGCTAGGTTACCTGTAGATTTAAATGCACAAACTTGAATTTGTAACCGTATTAGATTTGTTAAATTTAGCGCGGTTAAATCTACAGGTAACCTAGCTCTAAAAACACAATATGTTTATCTCCATTCTACCACATCTTCCCGAGGCAAGTGAGTTAACTGACTATAAAAGTCCAGTTTCCACCCTTGCCAAACTAGGCTGGTATTATAGAGTTACATTTTGGCGGGACTAACGAGTCTATGCATAGTCCAATCAAAATCTCGCACCGAAATTGAAATCCGGTTTGTAAAGTGTCGTGCAGATTTCGGTCGATTGTAGGATTTGCAAAGCATGTGTACCGCCAACTCATTGTCAGCAGATATTTTCTAAATCTTTTCATGTTTTTAATCAAGGTGCTCACGTGATTTGATGCATTTTGCGATGTACGACCCGTTTTATCACAATATAGATCTTGATTATCTATCAGATCGTCCTGACCGAGCGCCACCATTTTGTGTGAAGCAAACGCAAGTGATACGAGAGGTGGAAATGATTGGTCCACAGGAGAGGCTTAGAAGGGACATAACTGGTAATAGCCACTGGTGGTGCTACGATTGAGCCCAGTAATTCCAGCCTAGTTCGGCAAGGGTGGAAACTGGACTTTTAAAGTCAGTTAACTCTCTCAAAATTGACACTGTATGTAGATCATGAATATATAACAGACTTGAATGGCATCATGTTGCAAGGTGATTTGTTGCATGTTTCTAGTTTTTAGTACTTCAGTCTTACATACGTGACCAAAGTATATTCTTTAGAGAACTAGTTTTAACTAGTTGCTACCAGGCACCATGATCAAGATACAGTCTACAGAATGCTTGATGCAGAACACCATACTCACTTGCCTGGTCAGTCTCTCAATAGCTGCCATCACCATGAGCCCCCTCCACACAATGGCTGCAGTCTCCTCCACCAGAAAGCCCATGGACATACTGCAGAACAGACACTACTGATACTTAGATTTAACAGAGAGCTCATGGAAGAGGGCAGTCATTGTGTTACAGAGGTAGAAGTTTATTTGTTATAGAGTGAGTGGGTGAATGTTGTAAGGGAACCGTAGGCAATCAAGTTTGGACCAATCTTCCTGAGGCAAGGGAGTTAGTTAACTGACCTTAAAGACCAGTTTCCACTCTTGTCGAACTAGACTGCAATTTCTGGGGTCAATTGTAGCGCTACCAGTAGCTATTATGAGTTATGTCCCTTCAATGTCCCTCATACTGACCAATCAGATTCCACCTTTCAAATCACTTCCAAACAAAATGGCGGTGCCCAGTCAAGACAACCTGATTAAGTCAATCAAAGAAAAGTTTCAGATTCCCTGCCTCACAAACACCTAGTGCCAATCAGTCGAGACTCTGCAGGACGAAAAAGACATACATGTATTCGTTTTGATAAGGATGGGTAATGGCAAATGAATATCATATGAATGTGTGAAATATTTTGTACGAAGGATCGAGTGTTCTCGTACTCACACAGCTGACCTCCATCATGGCAGGACAGTGCAAGAAGTCAAACAACATGAGATTCAGGGCAACAGGACATTTAAAGTCTGTCATTTAGAGAGTAGTCATTGTGTCATGGAGGAAGCAGTCATTGTGTCATTTAGAGAGTAGTCATGGAGGAAGCAGTCATTGTGTCATGGAGGAAGCAGTCATTGTGTCATGTTGGAAATCAGTTATTTCCATTTCCAGCAGGCATTGTGACTTTAAATTTCTGTATCAATCTGCTTGAATGCCACATATTGGTCTTGTTGGACCTACTATGCCTTGGTCTCTCTACAATCTCTAGGTGAAGATTACTGCAGTCAGCAACACACAACAGCTACACTACATCAGATGCCGTGACACACTATCTGCCAGGTCACAAATTGTGACAACTCAATCCCAACTTTTGTTGGTTTTTACACCAATCATGGAGTATCAGGGACAAACTGGAATCCACACTGAGAAAACACAACGTTAATCTCATCATCATCATCATATTATTATTATTATTATACCATTTTATTCCATAATTCACCAGTGGCCTCATCAGATTATCTGAAGAAAGAAGTAAGCCATCAATTATTATTCATGTTAATCAGGTAGGATTTACAACACACATCTTGGTCAAAAGTTTAACTAAAAATGTAATTGAATATATCGCTTGAACAGGACTAATGGTTTAGGTATTTAACATACTACCCGCAGTCTGTGCCAAAAACATTGGAGTCTACTAGCCAGAACTTGGTTCTTGCCATCCTGCTCAGTAGATGTTAGTGTCATAATATGGAATATTAGATGAGCTTACTGGAACAGAATTTTTCTAGACTTGGGCTTTGACTAGCGGCTAATGTCTGTACCTGGAGTAAGCTCTGGCTCTCCTCGCAGGTTCATCAGCTTGGGTACTGACGGCCCATAGACATCAGCATCCAGCAAGCCAACATCCTTGAGCTGCAACACACATCACTGTCAAACATACATGTAAACAGACACATACTAGAGCTGTCATCGATAGGAAATTAAAGTATCAACTCAAAAGTATCATGATATATTGATTGATAATAAAAATAAATTATTCTGTATGTGAATAGGAAACAATTACGTATGTAGACGTGCAATTAATCAATTCATTGCTTGATAAGAACTAGGCTGATCCATCACATGTCAGTGCCCCTGACCAGTGGATTCCGTTAGTTGCCTCTTACAACAAGCATAGTCATCTCTTGTGGCAAGACCAGCGGATCCCGTTAGTTGCCTCTTACAACAAACATAGCCATCTCTTGTGGCAAGACCAGCGGATCCCATTAGTTGCCTCTTACAACAAGCATAGTCATCTCTTGTGGCAAGCATGGGTTGCTGAAGGCCTATTCTCTACCTGAATCTTCACGGGTTGCCCCGGGAATGTGTGTGACTAAACATGATGAAAGGAAAAGACTTACTAACACTGTAAACAAGGGACTAGACCATTACTTAATGTCAGCATAAAGACATTATCAAAAGTGGTTTCTGTTTAGCAAATGCATTGTATTTTCTGTATCCTTTCTATCATGGTCTATCATTCCTCAAACAAATATACATGGAATTGTTTATACCAACAAAATGTAAAATAGGTTAATGTTTTTGAGTAATATATATGTACAGAAATGAAATGAAAATAGCTTACTGGTTCATTGGCTGCTAGGCCTAATGCAAGATTCACTGAAAAAGATGTGAAAAATATCTCTAGATCATGTTGCATTGAGCCATCATATGACATTAGCTTTAGACTTGGCCGCCCTCCCATTTAGCCAGTATTAATGCTAGCTGTGCAGTGTCACGTTATCAATGTCAAAATGTCTACTTCATTAATATCACTGAAAACGGTGATTCAAAGCACTGAGTGAGTGAGTGAGCTGCTTGTACATAGGGCCTGACGTCTGTCCTTGACAAAACACAGGAGTGCATGTCATTTATTTTGTCAGGGATGATACACTTGCTGCTGTTTAATAAAGAGTTTGAAACTTTTTGCTTTAGAGTGACAATGACATGGTCAAATGCAATATTCATTATATTGTTACCATATCACTATATCAAGATAGTGAATTGAATATTTACACAAGTTAACTGTGCAAACACATGAGAATTGAAGTATGAACACACTCTGCACTGTCTGAACCATAAAATAAAAATGAAGAATCAGAAATTAGAAAGACTAACTCCTATGGACATTCTACCTGATAATATGGCTTTCACCCCTTTAAGAACTTTAAGAGCTGACAGATCTGGTGCTGTTCAAAAACATCCAAACATCCAGGTCACAACATAAACGTTTGTCTTTTCTGTCCGTTACCATGGTTACCTATCAATGTACTAGTCATACAAAGCAGACATTGTGACCATTCTACTGACGAATATGTTGTTTTCCACCAACATCCACTCACTACCAAGCCTCACCTGCTGTTGTTGATTTTCCAACTCCTCCTTTTCCTGATGCAACAATGATAACATGTTTCACTCCATCAATCTGACGTTTCCGTGGCAACCCTCGAGCCATGTGCTCTCTTCTCATTTCCTCTGGTGACTTTTTACTTGATGATGGAGGAATGCCCTGAAAATAGTGTGATCTTCACAATGGCGACATGATATCGAATGAGAGCGAGTGGTTTAACGTTATTTTTAGCACTGTTCCAACAATTATATGGCAGGGTACGTCAGAAATGGGCTTCACACATTGTTTCCAAGTTGGGAGTTGAACCCATGAACTCTTTATCGTGACAAGAGAACGCTTAAACCACCAGGCTACCCCTCTGCCCTGTCAGCATGATTAGTGTGAAGACTTAGCAAGGCAAACTAGCGGTTGACACTGTTCTTACTACTGCAATAGAGAAAATGTGACCACTAGTTTAATAGTACTTGTTTAACCTTCCATTAAAATACTAGCTTCTCATTGGTTAACTAGCGGGCAATTATTTTCCATGTACCCCGCTGAGAAATCAATCGTAACACACCTTAAGTAACTTGCTTATCTCTCATAAGTATCATGGAGCTGAAATGAACCGATGGTTATCCAAATGCATTGGATAAAGGCAAGTAACCCGGTTCATTTGCCTGAATCAAAGCATTTTACCGAGTGAGGCTCAGGGTCTATACAAGGTACAACACACCATAGACCCCTTGAGACCGGTTGACAACTTATATTGTTATCATGTTTCACTTTTGGACCACACATGGTCCTGTAATTGTAAATAGTATTATCAGTAAAATCAAGTTATCTAACTGGCCAGGGGACATCTTGTGAAAAACCTATACAAGTCGCCCCGCTGGCCTGTATTGGGATTATAACATCACAGTGTTTCACGATGTCATCTGCTTGTCATGACAAAATTGAGCCTAATTCACATTTGAGAACCCAATGGGGTTCACAAGGCAGACTTGGTATTGTCCTACAAACATAATTTGCTGAAAATAAATCTCTGTACATGTGAACACATTATGATAAATTTGTTACTTTGGTCTCGTGGTGTACAAGCCCACTCAGCTCATAGAATCCTGTACACCCTACTTGTGACACATGTAACGGATCGAGTAACATGTTCCCATGACACCAACCTGATCTTGTCGTGGTCACAGACATATTATTGTATTTTAGGGCTGGGACGGGGTAATTTGGGTACTTGGGTTGGGTGGTATGGAATAGGGCCTGGGTACCCACTGGACTCGTGGTCATATGGGAGCTGCTATAGAATATGTAGCCACTATTTTCATTCAAGGATCAAAGGGCTAAGGATAGAGTTGGGAGTTACCTAATCCCTAACACTATTAACCCTAAGGATTGAAGAGGCATGAGCAAATATGTATTTTCCTATACTAAATCTTTTTTCTTGTGACATATCTAATTTTTATGATACTATTTGGTGGCGAACAGATTCTATAATTGCACCGTCACATGATATATTGTTTAATGACAAAAAAAACAACACACCATGTCTATACTACAAGTCGCTAATGTTCACATTTTTTTCAGACTATGCATGCATTCCTTCTGACTTATATGTTTGTGTACTGATAAAGCTTCAATCAACTTCAGTGTTTGCATGATCAGATCGTGTTATACGTGTATCTCAATAGTATTTGCCAGGGATCCAGTACAACAGTTCCCAAACCGAAATTTTGTACCGAACTTCAATGTCCCTTAGCCTAGGTCATGTGGGAACTGAGGACGACCTTGCTGGTTATACATCCTTACAGTACTAAAGTTAAGAGTTTAAGTTATATAACTTTGCATGTATAACTATCTCCCGCATAGAAACACATGGATCTGGGGTGACCACCATTACCAGGAGTCAGGAGAGTTTATTGTTGTTGTCCTCTTTCTGTGTTACTCACAAGATTATATGACCACTTCTCTTAGTTCGTTTATGACTTTTCTTCAAGTAATGACGATGTGAAACTGTGCTACTTACAAAGGGGTTGTCATGCGATGAAAATAACCTTATCCATGCGCTACAGGCATTCCTTCTCGTCGGACTGCTCCAAATCTTGAGAAACAACATTCTGTCAAACAACCACGTGTTGTTTGTTGTGGAGCTCTTCAGCCGTGGAAACGCGAAATGAACAAATTGGAAAACGAAATTGAAATAAAACGGAAAATGGTTGATATTGGGATACCAATAAATGTAATCTCAGAGGAAACACCTATCTGATGATAATATCGCTACCGACATAAACGTACAGCAAATATCCTGAACTATTACATGTATACATGTTATTCAAATGACACAACATCATATGCAACAGACGAAGCGCTAGTACAATCAGTGGTATGGCGATTCTAATTATTAGTCGAACTCGGACGTTGCGATAACATGAAGCTGTGCTGTCCGTGAAAGCTGTTTCAACACTTAAATTTTATACTTTTCCAAATGTATTAACATTTCATTTCAACAAAGCAGCCCCAGATTATTAGACGACTTAACGCGAACGTTACCCCACGGACCTATATATAACCCGTCCGTGGTTACTCGAATTTGAATTTGGATCATAGACATTAGCAAAAAATGACGACAGGAGAACTTCAGTGAGTAATATTACTTCTATATGGGTTAAACATATTTTTATTTCATAGATGGAATTCCTATTGGTAAACAAGCAAAACATTTATTATATAAATACCGCTCCAAAAAAACAACAGATTACAGTTGGGTACTATTGGAATCCTTTATGTTTAACAATATATCGTGGACTGATCTGAGAATTTCCATGTTGATTGCGTCACTATGAAGAGCTTCCGTATAAAACCATTTTCATGTTATACCCATGGGTATAAAAACACATATAACTTCCAATGTGTGTGTAGTTTCCAGCTGTATGGCAATGGTCTGTAAATAATCGTGTCTCGACAGCCACCAAGTGAAAGCATATCCTCAGGCTGCGACTACAGTATCAGGTACCGAAAAATGGCTTAACGGTTTAACACGTCGTTCAGTCAACACGTAGGTGTTCAGACAGTCAGACATGTGGGTATTCAGTCAACACGTGGGTATTCACAGTCAATACGTAGATATTCAGACATTCAACCCGTAGATATTCAGACAGTCAACACGCAGTTATTCAGACATTCAACCCGTAGATATTCAGACAGTCAACACGCAGATATTCAGACAGTCAACACGTAGATATTCAGACAGTCAACACGTAGTTATTCAGACAGTCAACCCGTAGATATTCAGACAGTCAACGCGCAGATATTCAGACAGTCAACACGCAGTTATTCAGACAGTCAACCCGTAGATATTCAGACAGTCAACCCGTAGATATTCAGACAGTCAACACGTAGATATTCAGACAGTCAACACGTAGTTATTCAGACAGTCAACCCGTAGATATTCAGACAGTCAACACGCAGATATTCAGACAGTCAACACGCAGTTATTCAGACAGTCAACCCGTAGATATTCAGACAGTCAACCCGTAGATATTCAGACAGTCAACACGCAGATATTCAGACAGTCAATCCGTAGATATTCAGACAGTCAACCCGTATAGTTATTCAGACAGTCAACACGTAGATATTCAGACAGTCAACACGCAGATATTCAGACAGTCAATCCGTAGATATTCAGACAGTCAACCCGTAGATATTCAGTCAACACGCAGTTATTCAGACAGTCAACACGCAGTTAATCAGACAGTCAACGCGCAGTTATTCAGACAGTCAACACGTAGATATTCAGACAGCCAACACGCAGTTATTTAGACAGTCAACCCGTAGGTATTCAGTCAACGCGTAGATATTCAGTCTACACGTAGTCATTCAGACAGTCAACGCGAAGGCCAAAAAATTAAAACAAAAAAACCCCTACACATTGAAAGCACATAACACAACACAAAACATAACACTACTTTACTTACTATTCTGACTCACCCGTAGCTACATTCATCCCCCCATATCCATCCACCCACTCATCCCTCATCCCCCATCACACCCACATCCAACCATCTTCCCACCCGCCCACTCAGCCATCCACATTCGCACACGCGCATCGACCCACACTTCCTTCCATCTACCCACCCTCACGCCGATCCACCCACACTCGCACACGCGCATCAACCCACACTTCCTCCCATCTACCCACCCTCACGCCGATCCACCCACACTCGCACACGCGCATCAACCCACACTTCCTCCCATCTACCCACACGCCCACTCCACACTCGCACACCGCACATCGACCCACACTTCCTCCCATCTACCGACCCTCACGCCGATCCACCCACACCCATCCAACCTTCAAGCACCAATGAAACCATCAACGCACCTGTACACCCATACAACCCCACAATGCTCATGGTATGAATCACTGGATTGTCTGGTCCAGACTCCATTATTTACAGGCTGCCGTCAAAAGGCGGGGATATTGCTGAGTGCGGCGTAAAACAACAACCAAACAAACGAACAAAAGACTATGGGCCATGAGTCATAATAATTGGTAATAACTTAAACATATACTTAAATAATGACCACAGTTAAAACTATGATGTATATCTCACGACCGAATTCAATACTTTTACAATACCACCCATTCAGGTTCTGGGCAAAATACCAGTGCAGAGAAACCGCTTACCCTGTTACCGGCAGTTGAACCTTTGTTTTTTAATAACAAGGCCACTTGAAGAGGAGTAGAATCACAAGTCACAGCTTGTGTCGGACACTGATTATGTTCATAAGTTAATTGGCCAATCTATGATCACCAAGGAATGTTTGAAATGTACAATCAATTTGAAATTTATGATCGATAAATGTTGAAATGTAAAAAAAGGTATTTCAAGGCTGAATTAAACGAACACAAAATGGCTAAATGTGTGTAAATAGTGCTAACAAATTGCTTTGAAGGTGTCTGTGAAAGTGTATGCCAGAATATGTGAATTTAGCGCTGAATAAATGATTATGAACATAATTTGCTTGTCGTTTTTTCATGGCATACACTGTTGAAAGCAACCCGATTTCGGAAATCTTGCTTCATATCAAATATTAGGTACGGGTTAGATATTGTCGGTGGGTACGACTCCGTGCGTGCAGATCGTCTGGTATCTGTGCAGTTTTATACTCCAGTTTTACTGAACCAGCTTTCGCTTGTTGGGCTAAAGCCGATAAGAAGGTAATTTTGAATCCAAATCCTTTACTCATAACTAATTCCTTAGTTAAATAGGCCAGGTTTTACATGTCTGCCCAAATTATATTTGATTCCAGTTCCGCGTTGATCAAGATAATATAACACTTTGTAAAGTTTTGATATCAGACAAGCAGATGGTGTTGACTATTTTGCACGTAGAAAACGTTTGACATGTGATACACTCTCTTTGATATGTGAAACTGTATATCATTACAGATGAAGGGGGTGGGGTCACTCACTCACTCACTCACTCACTCACTCACTCACTCACTGATCTAAGCAGTAGAAGCGGGCATTCCGAAAAGTCCCATCATTTAGAAACCAAGCAATGCTTCATGAGTGAGTGAGTGAGTGAGTATGGTTTTACGCCGCTTTTAGCAATATTCCGATATATCACGGCTGGGGACACCAGAAATGGGCTTCACACATTGTACCCATGTAGGGAATCGAACCCGTGCCTTCAGCGTGACGAGCGAACGCTTTAACCACAAGACTACCCCACCGCCCCTGTAACCGAGATGAGTTTGGGAGGACTGATCAGATACTTTTTATTCCCACTCTCCCGAATGGCGGAAGGTCGATTGTTCGTTCCCCTGGTCACGTCATACCAAAAGACGTTAGAAGATGGTACTTATTGTTACCCCGCCTAAACGCGACGTTAAATCCCATTTCACCCCGCCTTCCCCCACTACTAAAACCTGCATATGATAGCTCTTCATCATCGGAAGTGTGGGAAATCACCATGTCTTGTCATTGTGTTTAATGCAGTGTCGTCCAGTGGACATCATGGTCAACGGGAATAATACTGCCACCGCCAAAAAAAGTTAGTAAAAGTGATCCTAATAACATTTTCGGGGCGCGCGTGCGTGCGTGCGTGCGTGTGTGTATTGGGTGTGTGTTGGGTGTGTGTTCGGTGTGTGTTGTGTATTGTGTGAGCAAGCAAGCAAAGCACTTGGTCAGTAAAATCGTCAACGAGACGTTGTAATATTTCGGTTAAGGGAGCATTTTGTATATTTGATAAGAAAAGTGTTCCGGTATTAATGTATATTGCTGAGATTTGAGAATACCAAAATGGAATAGCATTGAAATTGTTCATAGCAAGGTTCGTAACTGTTGTCTTCACACCAGCAACAGAAATGCAAATGCAGTATGGTGAATGTGGCAGGTATCCACTTCATAATATTTACCATGTAAAATGAATTAAATATTGGCTTAAGATAATGCAAATGAGTGCAAAACAGATACCAATACCAGTGTTTTGAAATGTTGTTATACGTTGCAGATAGAAAACGCCCTAACTGGGCATCGCATATCAGGCTTTTGCTAAGTAATTTTGTTTGGGGAATGTATGGGTTGCACAAAGCGTTGGCAAGTGTTTGCACATCGTTAATGATTGCTCGTTTCAAGATTGGGATGCATCTCCAGACAGCAAGACCGTCTCTTTCAAATAACTACATAAATCTTGTATCGGTTGTGAAAAATGTTTATCAAATATTAAGTATGGTGAATGTAGAAGATTATTAACTAAATATTTAGATGTGGGCAAAGTAATCTTGGCATTCAACCTGTCCCTAGGGGTGTTGCTAATATTGAAGATGATGCCGTCTTATGTGAACACTGTCATGTCATGGAGGATGGACGCCATGTTGTATACAATTGTCTTCTTTATGCGAGTCGGGGCGGTCGGGTAGCCTGGTGGTTAAAGCGTTCGCTCGTCACGCTGAAGACCCGGGTTCGATTCCCGACATGGGTACAATGTGTGAAGCCCATTTCTGGTGTCCCCCGTCGTGATGTTGCTGGAATATTGCTAAAAGCGGCGTAAAACCATACTCACTCACTCAATTATGCGAGTCGGCGGGAAATGTGTATCCCAAAGATAGTTAACCATCATTACTTTTGTTTTGAAAGAATCTTGTTAATTATCAAACAATGATACCATAATACATTCTTCAAAACGTACGTTCTTTCCAATGTACGTGTTCTCAACAAAAGAAAGTATTAATAAGGTTACCCTTAAATAAAAAATATATGATGT